TAAAAATAGCTCCTTTCCCACTCATTCTGACAGATTTCACTGAGACCCTGTGCACAGGTTGATCCTCTAACAAACAGTTTTAGTCCTGCAGCAAAATGAAGGGTGATGGCATCTGGGAGTGACAATTACTCCATCTCTGGTTCAGCTCCTGTTTATTTCCACGATTCCCACTTCTGCTTCACTGGGCTGCATGTGTGCACACACGTGCACGTGCACACTGAGCTCCCCGACTGGGATTTGGTGCTCCTCAACCAAACGTGGGCAGAATTTAAACCAGGAACATGACTCAGGACCGTGGCTGCAGACTGAGCCCAGAGCGAGGCCCCCTGGGAATCAGGCTGTTTGTCTTGGGTCTGTTCCTAATTCCAAGCTAGCCTCTCTGGGCCTCAGTTTCCTCAATTAGAAAACAAGGATAATCATGCCTATTCTGTCCTATTTCACAGCATCACACTGGGATCAAAGGAGATAACGTATGTGAAAGTTATTGTCCTTCAGACCGTACTCCTATCAGAAGGATGGATGGCAGTGATGGGACAGGCTGGACAGGCAGCCAGGCTGGAATGGACAGGCATCCTGACCACACCAGGAGTTAAAGGCAGACCTAGACTCACAGCTTTAGTTCATATTGTCCCCCCTCTGCCTGGAATGTCCTTCCACCTTTGCTAAACTCCTACACGTTTAATAACCCAGTTCAAACAACGCTTCTTTTTTGTTAGTGTCTTCAGAATAAATCATTCCATCTTCACTGTGCCCTTGGCCTTTTATACACACCTCTAATAGCACTTTTCACTCTGTACAGTGAGGATTTATTTATGTACCTGGAAGCTCTCTGAGAGCAAAGATCATGTATTCCTTATCTTTGTATCCACCTCCCCACCCAACACAGGCACATGGCAGGTGTCAACCAATGTTTACCGAGTTGACTATGGAATGGGCAAGAGCCCAAAGCCAAGGAGGTAAACCCAAGAGAGCAGAAAAGGTGGGACAGCACACAGAGCCAGGGGCATCTGGGCCACCATCCAGGGAATCCAGGAAGGTAGTGTCACCAGGTCTGCCTGCCCTGGCACTAAGGGCACAGCCACAGGGACCAGAGTCAAAGCTGAAGTGCAAGTCCTGGGAGGTCCTAGAAAAATGAGGGACTGAACAGGGAGCAGAAGCACCAAACTGAGGTCCAGGGACCAAGGAACAGGAGCCTCATACCAAGTCCCAGTGACCTAAACGGGAAAAGGAGGGCTTGAGGACAAGGAACAAGCACAGAGAACAGAGCCAAGGCAAAGAGGCAGAGCAAGGTTGAAACGGTATGGAAGCCTAGAACTTCCAGATGAGTTAACATTCCCGGGTCTGCCAGGGTGGAGCCAGCAGCTAGGAGTTAAGTGACTTGGCTATGACACTGAGGGACTCTGGAGGCAGGAGCCATTACAAATTTAAGTAGTGATCATTTCTATGAAATAGAATCAGAGATGGAAGGGACTCTTAGTTCTATAGGAAACATTAGGAATCATCTGATCTAAGACCCCAACCTACACCTGGGGGAACTGAGGGTCCAGGAGGAAACGGAGCTTGCACAAACTTACTCAGCAGGGCAGAACCAAAGCTAGAACCCAAGCCTTCTAAATCTAGTCTAGTTCTTGTCTCCCAAGGGCTGGTGACCTTCAGTCTAGCAGGTCGTCCTGATGGTTCTACTTACACAGCAAGTTCCCAATTCTGGCTGCTTTAGAATCTTGGGGAGGCCCCAGTGTCCCCACTAAATGAGCACAAGCACTTATGCCCAGCTGTGTAGTGCTTCCACCTTTGGGCAGAGTTCAGAGCCAACGTTCCACAGCAAATGTGCAGGCAGCAGCCCCATCTGGGGCTTGAAAGCAAAGAGCTGCTGTGGTGTATGTTTGCTGTCAAGGAGCAAACAAAATGGTTCACACACACCCTGCCCTGACATGTGCTTGGGGTATTAATCCCAACCACTGTGCTACCCCTGGAATTTTCCAGGAGTGGCTAGGGAGGCCCACTATCTAAGGTAAAGCTTAAATACACAAGGTTCATATACACAGTACATGAAACACATAGTTTTCACCACTGTAGGAACATTAAAGGAAGGCCCGGCAGCTCTAAAATCTCAAAGTCCTTCTCAGGCTAAACATGAGACACAACTCAAAAGAAAAGAATTGAGACTTTCAGGGAATCAGAGACCCTGACTCCCAGACTTCTAGAACTTTCATCCAGGTAAGGGCACATATGCAAAAGGACATATCCAATTTTATGTCATCTATACAGAAAGTATGTGAGCTTCAAGTACTTCAAGTCCAAGTCCCAGCCCCACTGTTTACCTAGTGTGTGATCTGGGGCCAGTGACTTGCCCATTCTGAGCCTTGGTCTCCTTACGCGTAAAGCAACAATTCTAACACCTGTGCCCAGGTTTATTATGAAGATGAAACAACAGATATAAAGCATTTCGCACACTGCCTGGCCCATAATAACCACCAAGTAATTGCGCTTATTTGCTTTCCTTTGTTCACGGGAAGGGATGGTTGCAGCACAGTCCACTTCCGTCCACCTGCGCTTTCCCCTCCTGCTTGGCTGTCCCTCTTGACCCTTCTGCACAGACATCCTACCTGGCGCCCCAGCCCAGACAGCTCGATCCTCCCTCTGCTTATCCCTTGGACAGAGAAGAAGGCAACTGGTCAGCTATGGGCCACACTCAATTCCTTGAAGGTCAGGAACCATCAGCTTAGGTCGAGGCTGTTCCTGTCTCCCCAGGTGTCCCTGCAGCTCCCTGGCCAAGCCCTGCCCAAGGCAGTGCCTGGTTTAGTACGGTTCTTGTCTTTTCCAAGGTGAACCCCCTCCTAGCAGCTTACAGCTGCCCCTGGTCTGGCTCTGGGCCTCAGGCAAATAGACGCCAGACAGGTCAGACCTGGACATCAACAGCCAGAGATAGTTCCCAGACCCAACTAACCAGCAGGAAACAGCCTGGAGTCTGAACCCGCAGTGAGACCCGCAAGGATACACACCAGCACCCCAGAGACTGGAGCAGAGAGGGAGGGGAGCCCTAAAATGAAGCTGCCAAGGGGCTCAGGGCACAAGCCGACTCTTCAGATTGCCCCGGCAAGAAGCTAAATAAAAGTCACCTCAATGTCAGGCTCTCAGGCTGCATGTTTGCACTGGCCATGTCTGTCACAGCGCCACACACCATGGCCACCACAGGGCATTAACAGGCTTCACAGGGGAAGAAGAGAAAGGAACCAACCATCACCAAGTGCCTGCTGCATGCCAAGGACTTTCCGCGTAACCCTCGTCAATGACCTTCTGTGGTATTATTAGCCTTATCTTGCCAATAAAACCAGAGACTCAGAAAAATCCTTGAGGACTCTGTGCCTCCTCTACGCTACCTGACCACAAAGTCTTAAATGTTCTTGGAAAGAGAAAGAAAAGCTGAAGAGTCTAAAGGACTAGGTACCGAGCTCTCCAGGCAGACAATCTAGCTTGACTACTGCACTGCATTCCCTCGTTCCCTGCTGGGGGAGTCGACTCCTTTCACACAGAACCTACAGAAACACAGCAGAAGTCATCAAGATGCTCATGGCCTTTGAGCAATTTCATCCCCAAGACTGTACCTTAAGGAAACAGTTCAACAAGGTATTCACTGCAGAGTCCATCATAGTGACAAAAAAAAGCGGGGGAGGACATAATCTAAATGTCCAACACTCAAAGAATGGTTTGGAAAATCCTAGAACCTTCAAATCATATAATATTATAAGACTAAGAGGAAACAAAGCAAAGCATTTGTGATAAAATAAATGAAGACTGAATACAAAACATCATAAATGCTATCACTACAACTTTGTAAAGTATGTACGTGTGTGTATGCAAAAGGGACGTAGTTGTGTTAGGGTGGTAAGATTATGGATGGTTTTATTATCACATCTAAATCCTCTTTGTGGTGTGGTTCAGTACCTTTTCAATTAAAGAAAAAGAGAGAGAGAGAAAGACAGACAGATCAACCCAGCACTAAGGAAGGGCCCAAGAGGCCCAGGGCTGGGATGTGAAGCAGAAATTGAGAACCGTCCTACATACCCGGAAGGAGGAGGCCAGGCAGGCCGCAGGGGAAGGGAAGCCCTCTAGGTATGGAAAGGGTTGTAATTAGTCTGATGCTAATTACAGAAGTCTCACTAGCTTATTAATTTTTTGACAGACTCTGAATGAAGACTGAATTCCTTCATTAAGCCAACTTGGGTTCAGAGGCACATTTCCTGCGTGGCCATCCTCACTCTTCTCAAAAACCTAGCCTTTTTTTTTTAAGGATGGCAGTAAAGTAAAATTTAGTAACAGAAACACACACCCTGGAGAAATTAAGACTCCTTCCTTAAATGTAGAAATTCAAGACATTTCGGGGAACTAAAGGGGCCTGAATAAGCAACTGAACTGCAGTGTTTTCTACACTGGGAGATATAAACAGAAGCACAGAATACTCAGCTCAGAGTTAAAGGCCTCCTCAATCAGGTTCCACCCATCTATCTGATGGCACCTCATAATTTCCCGCAGACAGCCCATGCTCCAGCCACACTGAACCAGCAGTGGTACCAAACACTTTCTTCCCTTTCCTACCCCAGGATTCTGTTCAAGCTCTTGTGCCCACCTGAAAGTCCTCCTCTTTCTTGGAGCTGCTTGCTCAAGTCTGACCCATCCTCCCAGGCACAGCTCAAAACCATGTCCCCTCGAAGCCCAACCCAACGCCTGTACCCCGAATTCACATCTCACTCTTTGAAGTGGACCCAGAGTATACCGAGCCTCTCTAAAGGAGTTACACACAGTCTGCCTTGTGGTATAGTTATCTGGGTAACTGCTGTTTCTACCATATTAAACCACAGGCAACTTGAGGGCAAGGACCCTTCAGATTCTTGCATGTAAACTACCATATGCCTGGACATGAGCACACAGTAGGCCCTCAAAAAACTTCACTGAAAGATAGGGAAAAGGACGCATGACATCTATGGAAAGTCACTTCCTACCTCAGTAGCTCCCGTCAAGCAATGCAGAGATGAAAGTGTGCTGTTTCGTGGTCTCAGGCCGGGGAGGGATGAATCCTGCTGGTCTAGTTTCCAGCCTTCATGAGACTCCAGCTTCCTCCCTAGCTGACCGTAGTCCGCACGGCCCCAGGTAAACACCTTGCCAGTTTCTAAAAACAAACATTATTTGAATTAAGGCTACTTTCCACAGCTGTGCTCTCACAGGTAAGCAACGAATTACAAGAGAAAGTGTGAACATTTATTTTACTACCAACTAACAATGTACCAGGAGCCTATCTTCCTGTAAAGAACGCACGAGAATTCCCATTTTTACAGCTGTGGGAACTGAGGTTCAGAGAGGCGAAATGACTTGTCCAAGATCAAACAAGTGGTGAATACCAGAGTTGGATTCCAACAGAGGCTGATTCTAAAGCTTTGCTCCTGCATTTTAACAGATGTGGACATGACCACAGATAACACTTCAACCTCGCTGGATGGCTTCCCCAGTCTCTCCCCTCCCCACACCGTCCTGTGCTTTGCCCAGATGTCTGTCCCCAGGCTCTCCTCTCTCTCACCCCACTCAGGGCCCAGTCACCCTGAAGTTCCCCAGGCTCCTGACTTGCCCCCTGCCACATCTCAGGGCCTCACTCTGCACTCAATTAACGGTCGGTTTCACGTCCGTTTTCCCCTCCGTGTACTATAAAAGGGCCCTTTGGAGGCCAGACTCTCACCCAAAGGAGCAATGCCAACAGTGCCAAGGCCAGTGTCTACGTGCACTGGAGGGAAGGGAGGGAGAGACGGAAAAAAATACAAAATCACTGGGAGCCAGAAAAGCATTCAGTCCCCAGATGCACCACCTGGGAAGCTGGCCAGGGCTCAAGACGATAGAAGAAAATGAAATTTGGAAAAAGAGAAATGGCCTTTCTTCTCCCAAATAAGAGAAAATTCACCAAACTCATTCAGCTGTACCAAGTGCCACATTTGTTATTTCAACAGAAATGCGAAATCCGATGAGGCATAGATTATTAACAGATTCTCTGCAATAAATATGCATAACCATGTGCGCTGTATAAATTCTTTATACATGTTTATTTTAACAAAGAAAAACTTTGCTTAAGAGACAAAACACCAAGTAATGCATATTAAATTCTAGACAAACCTACTACTTACTCTGTGTTTAGCATCAAAGCTTCATCTGGCCCCACATTCAACATATGGTTTATAGTGTCAGTGAAAAAACAACCACAGACTCACGGGGGACATGTCAGAATATTACAGGGGCACAGGGCTCTGCAGGGATACAGTTCTCAGGATCAGTCTGCTCACCGACACCAACGCAGATACCAAGAAGTTCACAGGAATCGGACTCCTGAGCTTCCTCAAAGAGGGAGCAAAGTCCCATGGGATACGAGGTGTATTACAAGAACCGGGGTGGCTCCATTCAGACGTGCTATCTCATGGCTTCTCATGGCATGTGCTGTACCTGTTGCCATGGTGGCCTTTCCTTACATTATTCATCTGGTAAACTACAGCTCAACCTTTACAGTCCAGCTCATGTACCAACAGTTCTGTGAAACCTTTCCTGACTCCTCAATTCTCCACAGAAAGGGTGAAATCCACCCTCCTGTGAGCCACCCTTATTACTGTTCTCGTCAACTGATATGTTCTCATTTAACAGGAGAGAAAATTAGGCTCAGAGAAGTGACCAGCCCGGGGTCACACAGCGAAGCCACATCTCCTCCTAGCCCACGGTACCACCCTGCTTTGGTCATTCACACTAGTCCACACTCACTCAACACTCTCCCTGAGCTTCCGCAGGATGAGACCAAAAAAAGTCCATGTGCCCAGGACCCACAAAGCATCCAAAACCGGCAAACTGTCTCTCCACCTGAGCTGGCTAGACTGACAATCAGACTGCCTTAGCCAGGAGATGCCCAGAAAGCCAGAGGATGAGACTGTTACTTCTTAAATGAGCCCAGCATTCCTCTGCTGGGAAGAACTGGCAAGTTGCTATTTGCAAGACAAGAGAAAGAAATGTTATCACAAATCCCACAACGAATCCTTTCTTATCAAGTAAAACATCTTAGAACCTGCTCTGCTATTGATTACTGACGTCCAAGACAGGCAAGACTGCCAGAATATGGTGCTACCATTATTACATCTCCAATAGCAATTCAACCATTCCACTTACATAGCACTTTTCACCTTCAAAGCACTTTACAAAGATTAACTAATTAATCTTCATGCTCCCCAGGGAGGCCATAGACATTCTATTAGAGACAAGCCCAGAAACCACGCCGACTGGTTGTCCAGCCTTCAGTCTCCAACCTAAGTTTGCTCAGTCGGGCAGGTGCACTCTCTGAAATTGTCTGTTTCTCCCCAAAATATATGCTGCATCAGAAGGCTCACAGAGGACAGAGGAGGCTCTTTTCCTTTTCCTTTTCTTTTAACAGACATTTATTGACCACCTCCCAGGTGCCCAGCACATTCACAGACACTATCTCAGCTAATCCTCATAATAATTCTGTGAAGTACAGATTATTAAGCTTATTTTACAGATGAGGTTAAATGACTTGGTCAAGTCCAAACAACCGGGAAGTGGTGGAATCAAGATATAAACTTATGTCTTCTGACTCCAAGACCAAGGGTAGCTCCAATGACTGCACAGCTGCTGTCACCAACCGAGGAAACCTAGCTGACGACACAGCCATTCTTACAGTGTTTGAGGAGGGGGAAATCTCAGATTAAATGGATATGTTCTGTGTACTGTCCAACTATCCTCACTAGAATGGCCTCCTTCCCAGGAGGCCATGCAGAACTCAGGACTATAAGCGCTGACATAAAGGCATTAAACACAAGGATTATGATTTTAGGTCACCCAGAGTAAAAGAAAACAGTGAATCCACATACAAAAAATGTTCATTAACGCACTGTAGATAAATATTTGCCTCAAGCTGAGGCATGCCATCAAACCCAAGGAGATTCAGATCACAAATGTAACAAATAAATCTTCTCCTTAGAGTAAGAATTATATATTACTGTGATAAAAAATAATATATTAATGTCATCCAAAAAGTATAGGTCTGTGTCTCTATATAAATGAGAGAAATGACAAACAGCTCAAAATAAAGTCAGCAAGTAAAATATAATTTAAAGGCACATCCATGTGAGAATTAACATAGAATAACCATGGAGCCAGGAAATACACACGGCAAAAGGTCCCAATGCAGCAGAGAAGAAAACGGGCCAAATGAGCAGCGCTGACAAAGAAGGCCTAGGGCCCAGAGGAAACATTTCGAGCTAGAACTGTGCTGGCAATTCTTCTTGCACGCTCATTTTAGGGACTACTGCTAAATAGACCACCAGGGGACGGCAGACTTTTAAGCAGGGGTAGGGCCTGATGAAAGGAACATTTAGGGACGGTACATCTGGCAGAGGATTGGAGGGGCCAGTAACAATAATATTCACAGCTGACACATCCCTCCATAGCACCTACTCCGTCCCTCAGCCTTCTGCTCTAAGCATTCTCTATGTAGTATCCTGCTTGTCCCTCCCAACTTCCCCGTGAGATAGGTACTCCCACCTGCCCCATTTTACTGACAGGGAAGAAGGCACCTACCCAAAGTCACAGAGGTAGTAAGTGAAAAGGGAAGGAAGGAAGGAACAGCCACAGTACACAAGCCTAAGATGCATCAGGGCTGAAACTGGGGTGGAAGACACAGGGGAGAACAAGTAAGAATTTGCAAGGCTTGGCACCCCATTAAATGCGAGAGAAAGGGACGGGAGGACATAAACACCACTTTGAGATTTCAGGACTTCAAGGTTACTGGGAAGGTGGGGGTGCCATTAAAAGAAATAGACAAAGGGGCAGAGATGCTAGATTAAGGGTCCTGTCAATGGGAATTATGAAATGTTATTTATTTCATTACCAAATGATTTAAGTCTACTGGGGCCTTCTGCAAACATCTTTATCAAATAGTCAAATATAAATAAAGAGGGAGTAAATGAGGAGCAAGACTACTAGGTGCAAAGCCCTGGAGTAGGGGGTGCTCTGAGGTCAGAGGAGACTCGGGCGGGTGGGTGGATGATCAATACTCAAGGAGCCAGCTTCCTTTCCCATCCACCAGAGGGCTGCCTGGGATGGGGATGAGGCAGGTGCTGCAGCCCCAGCTAAGGCACAGTGAGAAGCTGCTCCAGCGGCATCTGAGCTCCCCAGGGAAAAGGACTTCCTACCCTGTCCTAGGAAACGGGTCCTGAAGGCGACAAGAAGATAGATTACAGTGTAATATAAGGAACATCCATATTTTCTTAACAAATAAGCCCAAAAGGGAACAGAATGTGACTGAAGATATCAAAATGGAGTTAGCAAATAGATGTTATACATGTTATTTAAAAAGTTATAAAAAGAACACCCATGGGTCAGGCAGAGAAAAGGCCATACAACCTCTAAAATTCCAGGATGCTGCAAGGCCTTCTAGGGGACACACACACACACACACACACACGAGAAGGAGCCCACTCTCTGCCTATGAGTTTGTTATATTTATAATTCATCTGTTTACAAACACCAGTTACTCTCGGAGTCATTAATTCTAAGTCCTCAGAGCATCAGAGCCTCATTTCTGTAACTCATCCTTCATTCTGCCATGTGGACAGAGGCTTTATAAAAAGGCACTTGATAACAATAACCAAGGAGTAGTCAGACGCAGAACTAACTGCCCAAGAGTCACCCAGCTTAACTTTCCCATGTAGGGAGCAGGAGAGAGGGAAGGGAGGGAGCTCAGAGCACAGGTGCTGGAAGCAGCCACGCCAGGCCCCTTCCCGTGCACAAACGTGCCCTGCCGCTCCCCCACGGGCCTCCACACTGCTTCCGTCTGTCCCCACTATCTCCACTGCCCCAACCCCATTCACCCAGTCAACTCCTACTCACTCTTCAACCCTGCTGAGCCCTCAACCCAGATCAGATTCTTTCCTGCAACAATCTCAGAGAATCACGTTCCTCTTCTTGGGAGCTCTTATCCCAGTTTATACACATACAGTCATTAGGAGGACTGTTGGATTAATGTCTGTCTCCCCCTCCAGAGAGTCAGCTCTATGAGAGCAGGGACTGTCTGTTTTTGCTTATCCCTGTATCCTAGAATAATGCCCAGCACAAAGTAGGTGCTCAATA